GGGTCTACAGGGGTTCAAGGAGAAGATATCTGTTGCTTGTGCCGAGAGAGAAGAACATAACCTAAGAAACCAAGGATAAGGAGGGTCTAGATGTGTACGGAGTGTTGAAGGAATAGGGTTCGAGGATTACCTACATGGACCATTGGATGCAGGAACAAAGCTTAAGGTCAAATTCAGGACCGGGGACATAGGCCTTCGAGAACGTCGACGAAGACATAGGACGGTAGACGAGGAAGACGACGAGTTCAAATGTGATTGCGGCTTCGAATGCGAAGACCGTGTTCATGTAGTCGCGGAATGTCCGTTGTACAAGAAGGAGAGGGAAGTGTACGTGACTGAGCTGGGAAAAATAGATGGGACGTACAGGGAGATGTTTGAGGCATGGAATAGAGAGGAAAGGACTGTAGCTGTAGTGGGGCATAGGAGATGGTTTGAAAAGGCGGGACGGGATATCGTTAGGATAGACCTGAGAAGACATTTTTGAGCCACCTTTGGCAAAGTAGGAAGGAACGGTTGGCCATCGGTGATCGGTCCTGTGGGAACAATGCTCCGTCTTCTCGAGGACGCGTGGTCATTGGTCTAACCGCTAAGGCATGCAACACATGGGAGTACGCCCCCCCCCCTTTTTTCCGTGTTTTCCCTTAAACAGGTAGATATCATGGTGAATGCTCCTTGCTGCAGTCCACAGCGACAGGTTCGAGAGATGGGGCTGGAGAGCAGTTTGTCACACAATAGTCTTACCTAAAAGCGAGAGAAGCACTCAGCCTACCCGTGTTCTTTTGCTTGTCCTCTGCCTGTTGCCCTTGTCCTTGCAGGATTGGCGGAGGGCAAGTTAAGGCGGGAATCGCGAGGGCTGTGTCCCCGTGGTCGTTGATGGCCCAAGGCATCGCCGCAGGCAGTGTAGGCTTCGTCCTCGGCAAGGTTTCGGGGCTCCCGATGGAGAGGGTAAGTGTTCATGTCTGCGAACGACTGGGGTGAGGGCCATCGCCACACTTCGGGTGGTTGTGGTTTGGTCTAAAGATTATGCCATTCTTTTTCGTTTTCTGGAGACTATTTTGTTGCTTCGCCGTCGCGATTTTTTTCGCGTTTCGCTTCGTATCCTGTTGAAGTAATTCGGGGGGTGCCAAACAAACAAGGGGTTGGGTACTTCATAATCACGCCTGCCTGGTGTCATGCGCGGGTGTCCACTGCACTGCTGTTGCAAAGCACCTGGTACCCGTTTGGTTTTGTGGGAAGCAGTTACGTATCATTCTTTGTCCGGTCGGCTGCAACCATGCCCCCTCCCCCCCCCCTCTGCTGGCTGCTGATACCCCACCCTCCCTTCCATCCCTGCTCCCTACCCCCACCCTGCCTTGCTCTGCTTTTCTTCGTACGCATGAACTCTTTTTTTTTTTTGCTTTTGGACGAAACCGCCCCGGTTTTTTTGGTCTTCTTCTGCTGCGTCCTGCGGCAATTGACGCGAACATCTATCTCATCCTTGCACCATTGATGTTGACATGAATAATCACCAATCATCCAGCCGCTGGAGCTGCTGAACGCCCGCGGCTTCGAGGCGGACCGCGATGATGACAGTGTCGAAAGAAAGTCATGATGGCGATCGATCATGGATGATGGTTTTGGAGAATGAGTTTGGTGGGCCGGAACGAATAACGAAATTCCATGAGCTCGTCTCCCTGAAGCAGCACCGTAGGCGTACACCAAGGGAGCGGGGGCTGGGGCGGGGGCGGGGGCGGGGGNCTCCAACCCGTGGTCACACAGAAGAGCCCCTCTCTTCCCTCCCCTCCTGCGGTACTTTGCCTTCGATTTTTAATGCGAGAAGAGTTGATTGAGCACTCTCTTCCCTCTGTGTACACACGAACTTGCGCTATCCACTAGGCCAGGAGCGGAAGCGAGAGAATAACTCACTTTTGCAAGAAAAACTCGCTTACGCCGAGATTCGAACCCCTGACCTGACCTCTGGAAGGTTTCGAGGTTGCCAACTATACCACCGGGGCGACCGGTTTGGGGCTTTGAGGCTGATGGAACCGCAATGTGCCTTTTTTTTATTCACGCCGTATCGATTGTCAAGATCGAAATAGCGCTTGTTTTCATGTGTGTGTGCCACGAGGAACACGTGAAATACTTGAATTATACACTAGTAGTCGGGAAGTTTTTCAATCCCTCGATGCCGAGAGTTCATGCTTGATCGAGTGAGTATCACTTTGATCTATTTTGAGTTGTGTTGCGAACGAGAGAGGGAAATATTTGATGCTTCTTTTTTTCCCAGGAAGCTCGGCGAGTGCCTTTCCTTTCAGCCTGGGCCAAATCCGGCAGCTGGTCGTCTTACGTGATGGCTTCAGACGGCGGTGGTGTGCACGTCCTTTGCGGCGAAAAAAATTTGTTTGGTCCTGAACACGAATTGAATGAATCAGGGCCTTTGAGTTTTGGAGCACTGCCGGGTACATGTATGCCTGGTACGGTTTCCTGAGAGACAGATAGAAGAAAAGTAGGACCATGCGTGCTTCGTGGCTTGCTGCCAACCGTTGATGACACGTCGCGTCGGGACTGTCGGTTTTGTTGTGTCCTCCGTGTTTTGATGGGTGTGACGCTCGCTCTCCGTGTACCTGAATACGGAGGCGATCATGTCGCAGCATCAACATCAGTCGTTTGTGGTGGCGACGGAACTGTTCGTGCATGCGTAGTCTACAGGCGACAGTGGCAGGCACGATCGGATTCTAGTATACATACGTGGATGTGACTGTGATGCACGGTTATGCACACCCATGAAGAGATATTTCGCTTCATTGGTCAGTCAGCTGCCGCAAGTTAGCGACGAACGTAATATTTGACCAACCAGAAAAATGCGGCACTCCTGTCCTTTTCGCGGAGGACCGTGCACGAAGGTGTGACGTGGATTCAATTCCGACGAACAGGTTGGGGGCGGTAGAGCATACCAACCACAGGCATTGATAGGCATATCTGAGGGGCGGGGGTATCACCCATGCCCTGGTGCGTAGCCTGGTTGGTGCTGGTACGTTACCCTTTGATTTTTTCTTTAGACGGGTGTGGGAAGCGTTCCTCCTTTTTTATTTATTACATTTATTTTTTATTTTCTTAATATCACACAACAAATCCATCTCTAGTTTTGGTTTTACTTTCATCGGTTTCCGAGGGCTCTTTTCTCGAACGGTCGGTGCGGCGGTACCTGTTCTTTTCTTTCTATCATCTTGTTTCTTTTTCCGAGTGGTTTGTACCCTATTTTTGTTTTGTTTCCCCGCGGCGTCGTATGTGCCGGGTTTTGAGACCACGGGCTCCTCATTTATTGTGGACTATAACAGAGCTCATGTGAGAAACAACAAGCATGAACTTTGGCACGTTCAGGCACGGAAGAGAGAGGTTGTCGTCTACCCGTTCGAGTGGGAGGAAAGAAAGGGAGATGGACGAGCCAAGAAGCACCACCATCCATTTATTTGTTTTGCATTGTGTCATTCCTTCGTATTCTGGGCGTCGATTCTATGTATGTGTGGATTAGGCGCGGTGTATTCATCAATCCCGGTTGTGAGGTTGCTCGTGCACGTGCTTCGTTTAGTTGACAAAAAAAAACGACTTGTGCGCACGGCCCTGTAGTTGAGTAACAGTCGACCCCGTCAAGGAAACTCCCCGCTTGTTGATGAAAACTTGTTGCGCAAGCACCAGGAGGCCCGACAGAATACATGTTAATGGGTGTACCCCCATTTTGCTGCCGCGTACCCCCTTTTTTGTTACCTGCGGGCCCAGTGTCGCTCTTTGCACGAATCACGCACCACTGATGGATACCTGAAGACTTTTTTTTTAAGTATCCCTTTGGTATGGCCGAGATTGAGCTATGTTTCTTAAGCCCTTTTAACATATTTTTCGTACAAAGTTGATTGAGCATTTTTTCTTAACAGAAATTTTCTCTACTGCAAGCGCCATCTTTACATATTTGTACGCGAAGGGATGGGGTGGAGAGTGAGACGCAGTATTTACTTTCGAAGACCGTTCATTCGTTCACTCATGAAACTCAACAGAACCGTAGAGCCAAGCCGCGGGGGGAGGTTCAGGGAGGAAGTGTTCGCGATATGTGGAGGAAAAAAACAAGCCAAGCCGCGGGGGGAGGTTCAGGCAGGAACTGTTCGCGATATGTGGAGGAAAAAAACATCAGGGTAGCTTGTGATCTCCGCGGGACGACGACAGTGAAATGTACTGGTGTTATTCCTCGATGCGACGCTGAAATACGCTCGTATTTTTTTGTTTGAAAACAATGAGATAAATACTTCAGACTTTCTTTTCCGCTGCCGGCTATGCAGTACATTAGTTAGGCAAGAACAAACTGGTGTACTGTATTTGTTTTCAACTCGTCCCCGACTGCTGTTTATCTCATTTCCAAGTTTTGTCAATATGTTCGACGACAACAAGCGGTTGCCAGTCGTTTCGGCGATGCCGACTTTTCGTACCGCCCCCTTCGTTAGCAGAAGACACGTAGTTTTAGGTATATAGCGTGCCTCCGTTGGTCCCGGGGATGGTGGGCTGTCTTCCCACCCTGAATTTTAAGGACACAGCCCCGCGTCAAGGACGTTTTTTTTCAGGAAAAACCATGTGCGTTCTTACAGCGGGGTTAACTGTATACCCAGGCTGATCACTGGATCTTGCATCGTACCACCAAAAACAAAGCCCTACAACACCGCAAGTCGGTATCTGCCTCTGTTTGCTCAAAACGGTACACTGGCGGAATTCGGAATCATCAGAGGATGATTCTCGCCTTGTAGCACGAGAGTGGACCGCTCTCACGAGATGAGTACCTCTTCCGTGAGACCCCGAATCGAGTCTTTAGTAAGGAGACTGGTTAAGCACGGAGAATTCCTCGCCAACTCGTTGTTTGAAAGGGCGAAGGTGTGTTAACAGGAACTTCAGATTGTTAAAAAATTATAACGTTCCGTTGAGATATTTCCGAAGGCAGAGCTCTATTCTCCATTCTGCCGCTGAACAGAGCGATAGAAACGGCCTTAGTATTGCAAAACCCACGAAACTTCAAATGTGACATCTGGCCGATTTGATAACAGAAACCGCCAACATATCTCTTTGGTCTATGTAGTCCATGTGGCCCAAAAAATTGTCTGACGTCGCCTAACACCCCACCACCCCGTCCTTCCCCCCGAACACACAATCCAAGCCCTCGTACCAAATCGCATTCGATTCGTCACCAACGATCTGAAGTGCTAGAACTTACGCTTCCTAATCTTTTCTACAAACCTTCCGCTTTTTACATCTCACTCTCTCCCGTCGCTCGACCTATTACGCGGACACTCGAGTTTTGCCTACCCCAGCCAGCCAGGAACACCTCCCATGGCATGATTTCGGCTCCAACTACTGCGGCTTCTGAGTCACTCACTATGCAGGTCATGCAACAATTCCGAGCTGCGCATGGTTACTACGTGTGAGGACCAGGCACTCAAGGACAACACCCGCCAAAGTTGGAGGCATGCATCGAAGCAAACGTGCAAGCCTATTTAAGGGATCTTACAGCCGCGCAGGGATCATTGACAGAACGATGTCTTCCATCATGTCACGGCCCTAGTTTGACCTCATCGCGAAACAGATGTGGACTCACTCGCTCCCAGTGCGTGAGAACATCAAGTACACAGAAATAAAACTACGCTTCAGACCCATCGCTCGCCCAAGAAGTGGGGTTCGTGGGTGTTTGTTACAAGCTACCCGAACCACTCGCTAGCCCAAAAACCAGAGTTCAGTCGCGGCAACAACCACAAGAAAACGACCGCACTCTGCACAAAGTCCGAAGTCTCTTCACCTGTACAGGTGCTCCTGTTCAAATGAGAATGATTGCACGCAAGCCGTAAGGATCGACCGCGTGAGATACCACCTCAGCAACCGCTGTGATGCAAAGAAACGACGGGGGCATAACAGTCTTCATGCTTGATTGCCCCTTCAACGTCGTCCAAAAAAAGCCACACCGTCTCCCGTTTTACCACAATCCGAAGAGACCCTTCTTCTCGCCGTTGAGCTGCTTCTTCAGCCTCTCCTGCTTCCTTCGCTCCTCTGCGGCCTCCTTCTCCACGCGTCGCTTGACCGCGGCGGACATCGGTGCGTTCGTGGCAGCCCTCTTCACCTTCTTCTGCTCCTTGATCCTTCGGTTGTTGTCCATCTCAACACCCGGGGACTTCTGCGCGGCGCCGGAAACCCACGGAAGCGGAGCTCCACCGAAGATGGAGACGCTCTGCTCCTTCTTGTACCCACCCTGGAAAATGGAGACACGAGGGTATGTTCGAATGTCAGACACGTGTTGTGTACTTTCAACTGGAAGAAATAACCGCTTCGTTGTACGACTATGACGGGGAGGGGCACTCGCGGCATGATATAGTTACGTACGTCTGTAGTTGGGCTTGTACCATGCGGTGCAAACACAGGTTCACTACTGGCCCAACCCGCGAAACGTGGAGTACGACTGAAGACCGTGTTCACGGGAGAGGTGTCAAGACTCACATCCGTAAACGATGCCGACAGTCTGCCAACACGTGCTATGCATACGATGCGGTTATCCAGCAGTCGCTCCTGTGCTGTTTCTCCCCTGTCCCAGGTCTCGGGACATGTGCAACAGGTGTCCGTCTTCGGCAACGTGAATGTTTATGCGGTTTCAACTTTCGTATATATGCATGGCAAACCCACCGCTGCGTAGGCCTTGTCCGTCTGGGACCATTCCTTCTGCTTCACGCCCTTCGAGACCTTGTTGTTCAAGACAACCTTGTCCTTCCTCGAGCGCATCGCAGCCTGCCCCTTCTTGCTGGTGAGGTCGGAGTTGTCCCACGCACCTCCCCTCTGCATGTACGGCACCTGAATTCATTCGTGGTCCCGAGTTACGCAGCCAGCAGGTTCCATCATGTCAGGCAAAGGGGAGGAACTACGTGATTACTCACTTCACTTGCTGATGACAAGCTGGTCAATAGAAAGGAACGCACCCATGTTTCTGTTCGCCACGAAACCAGTGCGCTAGCCGGTGTCTGCTTCTTGAGGGGCAGAAAAAGAACCCTCCTTCCTCTGCTGTCCACACCTCAGGACACCAACAACAATCCAACTTTGGGGACTACTGCTGTACGAGCTGCGCTGCTCACCTTGTCCATCGGAATTTCGCCTGACTTGACCTGCACACGGCCACCAGGTAGACAGAGACGATCGCCGCAACAGGAGCGATAGAACAGGGGACGAACACCAGCAACAACGTTGTGAATGACCGTATAAATATCGATAGTTGCCATTTTCTCCACACTGGCGGATGCATGACAAAGAGCCCATCCAACAGTTGAATTTAATGGGTAGGTGGGGTGGCGAAGTGAAGAGGCGTTTTGCCCTCACCCGGCAGCGAACGCGCCGACATGCATGTGAAAAACCACGCACGCAAAAGTTCAGGGTCGAAACAAGGGTGCCCAAAGACTACCCCCCATGCCGCGGCGTATCTTTGCTGTGATCACCGTGGTACTGAACGATATTTCTTTATTGCTCATGGCATCATGCCCCCCCCCCGAACCCTACCGGTTCAGACCGCACCACAGCTGCAAATACTGCTTTCGATGCAGGCTTCACGGGTCTCTTTTTCCCCGCACGAGCGCTTCAATCGGTTCCGCTCGTTGTGGCATGAACAACTACAGCCACTTCGAATAATGGAGCACTACAACACAATGCACACAACAAGGCACGTACAGCCTTACGCGACCAGATGATGTGATCATATTAGGTCTTGTGCATGAGGTCAGCGTGCATGCTTTTGCGATGTTCGTTTTAGTCTCCTTTTGTGCCGCTTGTGATCGCACACGCGAGTCCTTACGTGACACGAGAACCGAAATAGAAGCGAGCATCTAAACCTTGACAGCAGCAAGGCCGAGCTTTCCTATTGAGACGGTTTTGATCAATGAAAGAACAGGTGGCAACATGTGCATGGGTGAAGTTTGTCGAAACACCTCTCCACGGAATCAGTCTCATCAGACATCAGACATCAGACATCAAGCGGCAACGTCAGCACCGTGTGCGAGAGTAACAGATTGGGCACACGATCTACCATGTAGATCGCACCTTCTTCGGGTCAACAGGGAACAGATGGCCAGCTCCCGATTCTTGCCATGCCTGAGTGCAAGAAAGATTTGCACGGTCGTGGGGAGGGTGGCGTTTGCCAAGGGACGTCAGCCTCGCGTGAAAATCCACTGCTTGATAGCGGCATATGATGTACGCATGTGACCCATGCTCCCTGGGTAGGTTTGCAAGATCAATTCTTCTCACACAGCGGGTACAACAGACACAACTGGAGAGCTCTAGACTGCCGCGGTGGGGCTCACCTGGAAGCTACGGCTCTTGAACCTCGATGGCCCCAACTTCCCGAGATTTTCCTGCTTTTTCTTGTCCGCGTCCTTGATCTTCTTCCACTCCGCAGGCGAAAGCCCGTCCGGGATGTAGGCCATCTTCAGGGCAGCGCTGTTACTGCTTCTCGTGTTCACAGGCCGAAGCGGGGCGGACGGCGGCGCGAAGGCCACCACGCTGGAAGTTCCAGCCAGGGCAGCCACAGCAAAGGTACAAACTGTACGCATCTTGACAAGGGAGGAGCCGGAGACTGGAGTGCACGAGAGTTGTGGCTGCTGAGATGGGATGAAGGTGTGCCTGTGAGTGACGGGGGCGGTGCATGCGTGTGGCCGCGTTCAAAAAAAAAAAAGGCGGCGCAATTTGATCTGACGTGTTCGGACGACGTGTATTAGTGCATGACGCAATATACCACCCCCCTGATGTATCAAGAGGTTTGCGACTGATGCGCTGCAGTTGCATGAACACAAACTAAACGCTATTTAGCGTGGGTGGTACACGGACAGTCTCAAGCAACCTCCCGACAGGATTTGCTCAGACAAACACCTTGGTATTTCTCCACAGCCCCCCCCCTGAAAATGAGGCATGTAGCACGAAGAACGACACCCATCTCCAAGCAAAATAAATTTGTCATGTTTGTTGTTGTTGTTTCTCACACTAGCTCTAAAAACGAAAGATTGTAGAGTTGTGAATCGGTACGAAAAAACGATATATTTTACATCGGCTGCGCAGCAGCCGATATAACGATATTTTCTCCGATATATCGCCTACGGCGATATATCGGAGAAAATATCGGGCGAGCGCAGCGAGCCGTGATGGGGGCGAGCGAAGCGAGCCCCCCCATCGGCCCCCCCCGGCTGGTGAGGGGGCCTCGCCGGAGGCGCCGCCGGAGGCAGAAAATTTGGTGCATTTTCCTTTCATTTCCCGTCAAAATGGGCCCAAATGCGGCATCAAAAAGGGCTTGACTTCAGCTGCAAACATCGCACGGAATGTAGAAAAAAAAAAAAAAGATTAAGATTGATGTATTGTCGCGTATCCTCAGCAGTACCCTCCTTCGGTCTCTCCCTGTGTCTACTTCCCGGTTGGTTCTGGACATGGTGCTGTTGTCTGCTGTTTCTGCGCTGCTGTGCTGTGTGTGTGTGGCGTACAGGGGCTCCGTACTGCTGCGCATACCCTAAATTTGATTCACGGAGCCCCTAAGAAAACATCGGTCGGAACATCGGCACGAATTTTCGATACCGATATCGATATATATCGGACGATATATATCGTGTACATCGTTCCGATTCACAACTCTAAAAGATTGGGAGCCCGTGGTCTCAAAACCCGGCATACACGACCCCAGGAAGAAACAGAAAAAATAGGGTACAGAAACCACTCGGAAGAGACACAACAAAATGTAGAAAGAAAGACCAGCTACCGCACCAAACGAGAAAGAGCGTCGAGGAGACCGATCAAAATAAAATAAAAGGAGAACGGGGAACGCTTCCCACACCCGC